GGGGCTGTTCCTAGGCTGGGTTTTGCCTTCTCTCTCACTCTGAACTAGGCCCTAACCCAGGAGACCATTGCCCTCATCTTTGTTTTGAAAATGCAGTTCAAGAGATTTTCCTGGAGAAATTCTCCCAGGCTTACCCCTTCTGTACCATTGCCTCGTAGGACCATGCTCATCATTTGAAATGGCCATTTGGCTGGTCCACGTGCTCCTCTGTACTTTTAAGTCAGTGTGCAGAGGCATGGGAGGGTAGAATGTATGCTTTCCAGCTGCTTCTTAGCTCTCAAGAGTTACTTTCACAAACATGTACACTTACATATCTATATACACAGTCCTTGTGTATGACATGTCTTTACATACTATATTTACATGCGTACATGTATGTACCTGAAGCTGTTTGTATTTACCTGTTTCATGTACAGTATTTGATGCTGGACTAAGACAACAACAGAGTTTGCATTGCCATCCTTGTTTTGCATGTGAAAGAAGTCTGGTCACAATCACCATAACCTCTCCCTCTGAAAGCCACTCAGCTGGCTCCCATGCAGTGGACCCAGAAAATGTCACTCAGACTATTATTCCTTTTTTTTTTTTTTTTTTTTTTTTTTTTTTTTGCTGGCATAGGAAGGGTGCAGAGGAGAGGTGACAGAGTGGGACTGGTGGCTGTGAAAAAAAAAGAAAGAAAGAAAAGAACTAAGTTTTGGCTTACCTGCCCGAGACACTGCTTAAGCATGACCCTTGCCTGCTGCCCAGGTTAGGCCCAGGTGTGGAAGAGACACAGATGGACTACACCACTGACCCCAGGAAGCAGCCTTGGGCTGGAGGAACCTCCTCGGGCCATTCCTGTGGTTAAGTCTGCCCAAATTTGGCCTCTGGACCATCCCCCTGAGCCTCTCCTGCAAGCCTGCAAGAACTGAGGGAGGTCAGAGCTCTTCATTTGCAAATCCAAACAAAAAAGGCAGCAAAACACGCTCCACGTGCTTGCCACGTGGAAACTCTCGGAGCCAGCAGTTGACAAACGTGCCAGCCTTGAGGAGTAAACATCCCAGAGGAGGCGGAGCTGCATGTAAGCCTTCCTGGCTTCATCAGGTGGTTCTATTAGCTCACAGCTAATCCATACAAGGTGTTGAGTCCTGTGCTTGGCACACAGTGAACACGCATTCAGTACGTGCTAAAGGGCACTATTCGTGCTACCCCGTTGTTACAGGTCAGAGGGATCGTAACACTGGCAGCAGATGAACCTACTTGCCCTGTGGAAAACCATTCCACCACATTCTAAGGGCCTTATAGTGTTCACCCGACACTAGGCTTCAAAACTAAAATTTGCCACATATTTTTAAAGTGCTAGGTACTTATATACATACACACACACATACATCCATGCACATACGTACATATATACACAAGCATATATATATATATATATATATATATATACATATATTTATAAAATCTTCGTTATTTCTAAATTTTGTGAGAATAGCATTATAATCAATTATCCCCGTTTCACAGACGCAGACCTTAACTCGTAAACGGTTGGTAAGAACTGCATTTAAAGGCTGGCAGGATGGCTCAGCTGTGCCAACATGGCAACCTGAGCTTGATTCCTTTTTAGAGCTCTCTTCGTGGAGTTGTCCTCTGCCTGCCATACATGGTCCATGGCATGTATGCTAAAATACACCACACACACACACACACACACACACACACACACACACACACACACACACACCTATCCAGTGAGCCCTACACGGCCGTTCTTTCTAAGTCAGCACAGGACTGCTCATAGCTACATTTCTGACCCTCACCTAGGGCTTAACTGTTTCCACGGTTTTGCTCTGTGTTTACGGCCCTGCGGTTGTGTTCATTTCACAGCTGCCAGGCTTAAGAGGCGCTGTGCCTTGCCAGCGATCACACATAGGACTGAGCGAGCCAGCCCCAGGACTCGGCTCTGCTGCTCTCATCCCAGAACTTGTCCTATCACGGGAGACTGCTTCCTCTCCACCATGGGTAGCTGATGACTTGGACTCCATGTGGCCCAGTGCCTCCTACTGTTCTGCTCCTATCTTTGGTAGAAAGGGTATAAGGTCAATGCTGAGGGTAGTCCCCCGAGTTCAAGATAACCTGTGCTTCCTCGTGGTTCTGCTTTTCTTGTCTGTTTCTTTCTCTCCAGAACACAAGCCAGGCATCCCAGATGGGGCAGAGCCTGCACTCTGTCCTCGACTCCAGGTCTGAGGCAGGTCTTCCTTCATAGTGTTAAACTTTGGGAGCACTCCTGGGGTCTACAGAAACAAGTGTAGCCATTTCCTAACTCTGCCATATGGTAGGAGCGCAACCACATCTGGGAGAGGCCGGTGTTCTGATTGGAGGTGGGGAAGTCCAGGGGACAACCTGGGACTCTAACCCAGAGTCAGAACACCCAGTGCTGTCTGCTCCTGAAACCAGGAGTGGCAATGGGAACAGATTCTAGAAAGGGAGGACAGTAGGTTTGTGCTAGTTTTCTATGACAGGTCGGAGGATGTCTTCTGATGGAGGAAGCTGCTAAAGGGAAGAAGGAAACTGAGGTGAAGTCATAGGAAGACATGGAGGGAAGAGCAAGGGGGTGGACCACCCCTTCTCTCTGAACACAGTGGGAGATTTGGAGCTGGTTTTTCCTCATGTTCAGTCGCTTGGGACCTTGGCCATGCAATGGCCTCTCAGGGAAAGCCAGGGTAGGTCTGCTAGCTGGGGCTCACCTCCACATAGGGGAAGAGTTCAAGCTGTGGAAAGGCCCAGGCGTGGGTTGGTTTTGGACTGCTTACTTACGCTCTGTTCAGCCAAACTGATAGCCCCACCTGCTGTGTGAAAACACTGGCTTACACATCGTGACTCTAGGGATTATCTAAAGCACGGTTAGCTTTGTGGGGAGCAGGCGTACTGTGGGGACTGGAGGCCTGTTTCTACCAGTAACTGTAGAACTTCTTTCTTGGAAATGGGGTGCCTTCAACCCATCGAGGCAGTCCTGAAAGCAGGCCAGGACAGCCAACAATATCCTCCAGATATCCCAAAGAGTCTGGCAGCTCTGGGCACAGCTCTCCAGGCATGGCTTTGGTGGTAGAGCTACTCAGAAGCTTCCAGAAGCTCTATCCTGAAGCTTCAGAATATCTCCCTCACCCTCGTTCTCCTCATATCCAGCTGGTCTGCCTGGCCCTAAGAAAAAAGCCTTCATAGTCTGTTCATGAGATGGGCCTGGGACTTTTGTGGCCATGGAATTGGAGTCCTGAAAACCCACAGACACAGGCCAGTGGGAGGGCTCCCTTTATCTGACCCAGCATCTCAGCACGGAATGTTCTGGTTAGTGTTTCTTGAACATAAATCTTTATTCCAGTTGCAGTAGCTATGATAGGAAAAGCCAGCATATTCCATCAAGCTTTCACCCTAATCAAATGATTCTTACTCCAAAGCTCTCTGAATTTCCTATTTGCCCTGTTTGAAGAAGGGTGGAGGTGGAGCAGGGTTTGGAGGGTTACAGAGGAAGTGAACAGTTCCTTTTTAGCCAATGGACAGTATGGAATTTTTTTTTTTTTTTAAAACCAGAGTAAGGAGTTGACATCCTTGGAGGAGAGGTATGAACAAAACTGCCATAGGATGTTTCCTGTTCTAGGGGAGAAATTGTGGCTTGAGGGGGAAAACAAAAACAAAAACAAGATGAAAGGTATGTGACTATGTGGGGCTGGGTCATACCCTACTCTGGGGAGGGACCTGCAGTGTCTCTGTTACTTTCATTGCTCTTGAGACAGTGGACATAAATACATTAAAAAAAAATTACCATTCTCCAAAATTATCCAAGGAACTGCTTCTCCTGAAGGTAAGAGCTTTGGTAAAAGACAGATAGACACACACACACACACACACACACACACACACAGAAACACAGAGATACACAGACATACACATATGAGCACACACAGAGATACACATACAGAAACATAGACACAAACATGAGCATACACACGAAGACACACACACATGAGCACATATACACACAGAGAGACATACACACATGAGCACATACACAAATATATGAGCACACACATAGACACATACACAGAAACACACACACACACACACACACACACACATTGTGTCTCTTTCTGGCTTTCTGTTTCCTTTCCCATCGGGAGGAACAGAGCTCTGCTGTGCCCTCCCGACTCTCTCCCCTCCACCTCCCAGAGCTAGCTCTGGTCACTTGTGGCAATCCTATGAATAAGAATAAAAAGTTCACAGAAGTTCTTTTCTGACTGGTCGCTGGATCTCTAGTCGGAAGCCGATGCTGGGGTGTTAGGGCCACCGACAGTTGCTGCTGGAGCTGTTCTGTTCATGGGTGGCAAGAAGCCTGGAAGCCCTGCTGTTTTCTTGGGGTGGTGAAGTCTTTTTGCAGGAAGCCACAGAGGAAAAGCAGCCGTCAGGGCTATGGCAATCTTAACATGAAATCAGATCTGCCATGACAGGCCTCAGGAGATGATTTGGTTACAGCTCCTTCAGATTGCCCATCTGACAGTAGGCAGCCAGAAGGCTTTCCTCAGAGCCTTCACTCATCCACACTGGGAGTTCCCAGTATTCTCCGAGGACCAGCCTGGGTCTTTCAGAGGTGGGAGGCCACCTGTGCACACAGCCACCTGCTTTCTGACCAGCCTCAGCTACCCTCCCTCCTCAAGGGAGGCAATCAAGGCTCATGGATTCACGCTCTGCGGCAGATAATCCAAGGATTTGGTAGACTCAGCTCTGGAATGTAGAGCAGAGCCTGCAGGCCGACTTTCCTAGCTAATCATGCTGGGCGCAGGGTCGTGTCTGAAACCAGTTAGCCAGCCATGGAGCAGTGCTGGCTGGGAGTGAGGGTTACAGAGGGGCTGTGGAACCCGGTGTGGCTGGGGACAGTTCCCCCTGCACTCTCTCCCAAAATGTGTGGGTGCTCTTACTGAGGAAAAAAAAAAAAGACTCAAGTGAAGGTACACAGAATGCTTTGAAATTTTAATAAATAATGACTTTAAAACTGTATAAACGATAAATTACCATGCAGTCCTTATAATTTAAAATAATTTACAGGCTGAGGTAGGGAGGGGCCCAGGAGCGTGTGGAGGGGGCAGGTGGGGAAGGGGGCTGCCTGCGGATCAGCCTCTTCTTGCAGCCTTCCTGCTGAGCACACACACACAGGCTGTGTCTATCCGAATGAACCTCCAGGCAGCCTGCTTGTCATCTGTTGTCAACGCCTTGACAAAGGTGTGGGTGGTTGTGCAGTATGAGTTCCAGTGCTTGGAGTCAATGCCCCGGCATCCACTCTCGACGGGATTGGGGGCTCGGCACTTGGTCTCGAAAAAGTACTGTTTGAATACGCTGTTGTTAATGTTCACCTCGCCCAACACTGTCACCTCCTTGCCCTTGATGTCCGTGGCTGTGGTCTTATCCCCAACCCACACGCTGACACTGTCACACACCGAGAACTCCCCCATGTGGAAGACCGGGTGGGTGGATGAGCGCTTGCTCCTGTGAGTCCTGTTGAAGGAGATTGTACCATGGGCCTGGAAGTCCAGATCCAGAGAGTCTGAAGACGTGGGTGGGGGCTGGGTGCTAAACAGCACGCGGGGTGAACGGAGTCTCCGTTTCTTAAACAGTCTGGGGTCCACAGTGATGTTGCGGGTCTGCCCTGTCACGCGGGCGGCTATTGGTGCAGCAGGGGCGCTGCGGGCGCTGCGGAGGGCTGTGTCAAGGGAATGCTGAAGTTTAGTCCAGTGGGCTTGGGGGACGGAGTCTCCTTCTGGGACATTGCTATCTGTGTACGGTTCTGCCTGTACGCCGATCAAAAAAGCTGTGATCAGAGTGTAGAACAACATGGGCATTACGCTATGCACCTGGAATGACAAACACGGAGATAGGTTACTCAGGGAGGCGGAGCTAAGCATTGTCAGGGTGGCCCCGGGTTCTCTCACGGGGTTCCTCAGTGAGGATGCCAGGAGCCTCCACTGGTGGCCACGAGTGGAGACTCTGGATTCATAAACCAAAGCGGGACACTTGTGGGAATGAGGAGGAATGCTGGCAGCAATCATGTTGGGATGACTGGCATTGCCCAGAGCAGCCTGTGTCGTAGCTCTGGGAAGCAACATGGACCTTGAACTCCTGCCTAGAAACTCGGAGTCTCACTCACTGCCTCCTCTGGACTCTCTGACTGCCAGCTTGAAGGACTGGAGGATGAGGGTACCCGCTCCCTGAATGTGATTCCCTTGGGAAGGTTCCAAAAGGCACTGCAGTGAGCGTGTCCTGAAGCCCGAGACCAGAAAGGGAGTCCAAAACACCCCTTACCAAGCCCGAGGGTCTTCCAGCGTCCCTCCTTTGTTTCAGTTTTGAACAGGTCCTTCCTTTTTTTTTTTTTTTTTTTTTTATTGCTTGCTTGGAGGTGAGAAGAGACCAAATGTCAGGCTCTACCAAGCTCAGCCTGAGTGACAGCAGAGTCAGCTCTGCTCTGGGGACCGTTGTCCTGCCCACACTGAGCAGCACTTAACATCTGCAGATGTGGCTCAAACGCCACTTTGTGAAGCGTCTCCAGATCTTGGTGGGCTCAGAGGAATCTCTATAAAGTGTCTTCCAAGCCTCCGAATCTATCTCTCCTTTTCCTGCACTGCTGGATTGTTTTGCCTCCTCCCCTATTTTTTTTTTTCAGCCTACTTCAGATTTTTTCTACTCCTTGAAGCTTTTTCTGATAACTCTAGCACAATTGTTCCGTCTGTCTGCCTGTCTGTCTCTGTCTCTCTGTGTATATGCGTGTATGTATACACACATTCTTTCCTGCTGAATCTACACAATAATTTAAAAAAAGCCTTAGCATTGGCACTGAGAAAAATCTTGGATATCCAGTTCAGATACTTGTTAGTGGAAGAAAACCATTTAATTTATCACACCTTAGTTTCTTTATGGGCAGTAAAGACTATTTTTCCAGGGTGAATATTTGGATTAAGTTTATGTTGATTCTGAGTTATTGTAGCTCTCTTAAGACAAAGACTTTGCCTTTTTTGGTTCTACTGTTGGCCGTCCTCACTCTGAGCACTCTTCATCCATGGGTTTTCATTGCATATTTTCTTCCTCCCTCAGACTTCTGTAGAGCACGGATTTGTTTTGTCCGCCTCCCGGATGTGTTTCCTACAGGGCAGAGCCGTGTCTGATCCACCTGGCTGGCAGGTTTCTCCATCGCTATGTGAACATCTCTCTTGTCTTTCATGGCGACTGTGCTTCCTTCACCTGATGATGTGGGTATTCAGTCACGTGTCTGTCTCCCTGCCTGAGGGTGCTTCAGAAGCCATGTGACTTTCATTTCCATCACTGCGCGGCCATAGACAGTGTCTGGAATGTTACAGCTCCTCAAGAAACATAAGGAGAACAAGGAAAAGACTGAACGGAGGTGTCAGAGAGGACCACCCTCTGTTTGCTTTCCATTATGGACATGGGTCCTTTTGGCTGTGCCCAGGGCTACACACTGCTTTCCAATCAGCATTCAGCCAGTGAATCCCATAGAATACTGTACTTGTTGGTGGGATCCAAGAAGGAAACAACGACATTCTTTTCTCCTGGGTTCCTTTGAAGAATGTTTTGATACTCCACTTCTCCAATCACCCATGCAGAGGAGGGGGCGGTATACCTGAGCTTTTGATTCCCCCTACCAGAACTGATGCCTAAAGGTCTTGCCGGTAACTGCCTTGCCAAATCTTAAGAGGACTGATCATTCTTTTGGCATCCAGTCCAGCCTCTTATGTTTGTTCTTTTTATTTCACTCCTCTCTTCTCAGTACACGTTATCTTTCATCAGGTGAATTAAGATAGAAGACACAGAACTGAAATCCATATTTTTATACCCAAATTGGTAACACCTGTTAGAACTGGATCGGGAACTGATGAAAAGTTGACTGGACAGTAGGGATTCAATAGAAATAAAGCCTGCCCTGCTCTGCGTTTCCCACTGTCTCACTCTGCACGGTCTGCTGGGGGAAGCTCCTTTTCTTCTGAGGAGACTGCTGATAGCCACAGTTCCATCTCCAGCCCAGCTGGTCCCTTGGAACACTCTCTGGACCTCCTGCTTCCTGAAGGCACCTCTCTCCATGGGTATTGACAGTCTCAGTGCAAGACAGAGCTGAGCAAAATCTTCATGCTCAACCCTGTCATCATCCCATGTTTGTCTTCTGTCCAGCAGTCACAGCTGAATCTTGGCCCACTCGGTGCCTTCCAAAAGCAGTTCCACAGCCCATTCCTCTATTGCTTGTGTTTCCGACTCTCCTAAATGGCATCTTCACTGCTTTCTTTCTTGTTACTAAGACCATTCATTATGCCTTCATTCACCAGCCGCAAATCTCGGCTCATCCTGGACTCTGTCCCCAGCCTTCAACAAGACCTCTGTGTAGTCTTTTGAGCTCTGCTAGAGCAGCATTCCTTGAATCTGAACCTTCCCTTCCAGCCTCACTTCTGTGTTCCTGGTTCAGGTCATGGTACTCCCTTGATGTTCTGGATCTTCATCCTCCTTATTCCAGTGCCTTCTCCCCTGACTTCCCATGAAGCTTCTTAGTTCCCTGCTCTGACCTCATGACCCACGGTTGTTGGTCCAGAATTGATGGCCCAGCCTGGCAACAGCCCCAGCTCCTTCCACTTAGCTCACATTTCTTCATTCCTGGCACAAGAGCTCCTGGCATAGCTCCTACCCTGTGCTTAGCCATCCTTGCCCTTGCTTTGGGCTCTTTTCTAGTGGTATGCTCCCCCTGGCCCCTTTTCTCTCTCCCTATCTGCTGTCAGAGTCCATCCTGCTGTCTCCCAATATTCAACTTTAATGGCATCCCTCGATCATGCCTAACTCTAGGCTAGTGCTTCTCAGCCTTCCTAATGCTCCCACCCTTTAATACAGTGCCTCATGCTGTGGTGACCCCCAACCATAAAATTATTTTTGTTGCTACTTTATAACTGTAATTTTGCTACTGTTATGAATTATAGTGTAAATCTCTGTGTTTTCTGATGGTCTTGGGTGACCCCTGTGAAAGGATCATTCAGCCTCCAAAGGGGTCATCACCTACAGGTTGAGAACTACTAACCTAAGCAGAAAAAAGACCTTTCTCGTACACCCGTCTGCTGACAGCTGTGTTCTCTTACGCTCTCTGATAGAGGCAGAGCTCCCCACAGGCAGAAACCGACTGCTTCATTGTTGTTGTGTGTGGCGCCTCCATCCCCAAAGGCTGTGTGTGGAGCTGTCTCTTTCCTTCTGACTGCTTTGATTGCTGCACCTGAGTGTTGATGTTGTCTATAGGCTCTGGTGATTTTCCTCTAAGGAATCACAAAGTTTTCTACTCTGTATACTGCATGCTCGTTCTGCACATCAAACTCCACAACGTTTTAAGAGCCTGAAGCTGGCTATGAATGTGCTGTTGGGTTACCACATGCTACCCACAGTCGTTCAAAGGCAATGTAGATTTACATCGTGGACACACAGTTCATTAAGAGTTGGAAATGGCTCGAACAGATCTGGTCAGTTTTTGATTAAAACATAATTTGGGAGAACCATATTGATTTATGCATCATGGTGTGTTCCTATGATCTTTAAAAATGATTAGAAAAGTCTCATAGTCATCAGAAGATAGAGACAAAAAAAAAAAAAAGAGAACTAATCCACACTGTTTCCCATTCCAGTCACACAACACACGCATAGCAAAGAGAATTCTCTCCGTGGATGAAGTGAGCTACGGAGGAGTCGATTTATTTATAGCCAACCTTTAAAGCCTGTGTCCTGAGCAGGTGACAGCCCTCATGTACCTTCATGGTGCTTGCCTGAGTGGGACATTTAGCTGGAAAGGACAGTCAGGGCTCATATGAAGGAACACAGTCCATTTCAGGTGTAAATGTTCCTCATTTTGCCATGTTCTTACCCAGAATGGAATTTAAGTGTTTGGGAAAGAAGAGACTGTCCTGGGGATGGGGAGGCTTTGACCTAGCCTCCATGGGGACCCTCTCCTGGCTAGTAGGATGTTCTGTAGCATCTCCCATAGTAGGAGATGTTCCTGTATCAAGTGAATAATCTTTACACAGATCTGGCCCTACATGAGTAGGTAATTAAGCTGCCTGATAGAGCTAAACACTTGATCCTAACTAGTCCTTGTCTCAGGTTGCCAGGAGGCCTGCCAGACAGGCCTGCAGAGGCTACTTATAGATGGGAAGAAGACAAGTCTGTCTTAGAGAGATGGATCAATTCACAATTTCTGAGCTAGAATAGGATCTATAAACCTGAATCACCAGTTGTTGGCCTGGGAGAGAAAGTCCCCAGGATCAAGGAAATGTAGGCTCCTCCGTCTCACTGGCTACAATCTGACAGGGGCCACTTCTTGCTTTACACTTGCCCTCCAGTGTAAATGTAAATTGGCTGCTGTCTTCCATTTTAAGACTCAGGAACTCTCAGCTGCTGGGGCCTGTGTGGAGTATAAAAGGAATTCAGCGACTTGTTGACTCCCTAGGGAGGGATCCCTGAGGTGTCCAGGGATGGACACAGGCGAGTCGTGACAGAACAGATTCGAGCACCACTGCTGGCGTGGCCCACACAGTACTCATGAGGAGGAGGCACAGCTTGGAAGTGACCTCAGAGACTGAAGTCTCCCAGGTGTCACCAGATGTACCTGGAGGACTGTTAGGCCAGGCAGCTTCATCCACTTGTAGAGCTGCTGATTATCTAGGCTTAGGGGTGGTGGTGGAAGAAACATGTCAGACAGCAGATGGGTGACACCGATGCTGCTGAGCTGGAGGACACATTTTGAGAGTTACTAGACTAGCTTTAGAGGGGCTGAATGATTTGGGGCAATTTGGCTAGTATGTGCCAGTACGACCCTGTTGCTCAGCCTCTGCACTTTGTGACTCATAGTGCATCCTGAGATACCTATAGCCACTCCAACATCCTAATTGAACTCGAAGTTTATGAGTTTCGCCTCAATGGGCCCACACGTCTGGGTCCAAAAGGAACACACTGATAGTTGATTGCTTTATGTCTGGCACCTCAGGTTTCTGAGTATCACACATCCATCGCACATCTATGATCCAGACTCAAGTATGTCTTGATCAAAAAAGTACATAAGATGTCCATGATGGTGACATGTGGGCTGAGAGTTCTGGACCCTGAGGTTAGCTGGCCTTTTTCAGGACAGGTGTGTGAGCTACAGGCATGGGCACAGAATGTGCCGGTCTGAATCCCAGAGTGACATCTTATGTCTCATCAGTCATCACAGCCACCCGGGGCAAGGCTGTGCTCACCCCGTCCCATTTTATGGTTAGAGAACAGAGACACAGAGATTAAATCACTTGCTCCTCGACATCAGGTAAAGCAGAACATAGAGCCAGGCCTGCCAGTGTCCAGATATGGAACTCTTCCCTACTCTTTCATTCGGGCACAAAGAGTGACCACAGACTTTCTGCCTTACAAGGTCACCTGCTCGGACTGCTCTGGGAAGTATGTAGTGAGTCTGTCTACTCGGGGCTTGTGCTATGTGACTTTTAATGTGTCCCCAGAAGGCACAGAGAAAAAGGACAAGTCCCATTTGCAGCACCAGAGTGTTGGCCCTTACTGATCCATCAGGTCTGACTCCCCCCTTCCCCGACCTGTAGAGCCTTTCCAGCTGTGTGTCACTGAGCTTTCCAGCCCAGCAGCTGCAGAACTCTAGATACCCCCAGGAAGGCAGCTGTCCTTCAGACACTTACCTCAGAGTGGCCAGGATAGAAAGCTGCGTCCTTGGCAAAGCCTTTATTGGGCCCAGACACTGAGGTGAGCTTGGGTCCAGCATGCCATCCAGCCCCCTGGACTGCACGACCACAGGCCAAAACTCTGTGGAGGAGAGCTGGCATTAGATAAGGGTTAACATATTCTCCAGCGGATGGGTAGACACCTGAGCCCTAGCAGAGGGGAAGAAATACCCAACTAGGGCAAACCCTATATCCACAATTCCAAAATTTTAGCAATATTAGAGCCCAGGAAGGAGCAAGAGTCCAGTTGCCAAGGCTTCCAGGCCCTGGACTTACATAGGCTCTGGTCTTGCATGGCCCTGGGTCTGCCTGGCCCTGCAACCGTACTTACCTTTATCAGTTTCAACCTGGACACAGTCCCCAGTGGGACTGTACCTAATGTAGTGCCTGCCAGATCCATACTAGAGTCCTGCTCCAGAGATGCCTGCACTAAAATGAAAATTGTTTTGCACACTGCCCAAGTACAGATGTGGTAGACACAGTGCCACCCAGCCTTGGCGATTCAATGTTACAAAGGCAGAAGTCCTGAAAATTCAAACGAGTCAATTCTATAATGGAAATACAAGACAGTCAGTGCACCTGGGACAAACTGACCTCATGACTCATCACTCAGATCTCTCACTGAACCAGGACAGGGGTCTTGCGGCACTATGCTCAGAGTCAGATTTCAGGAATCAGAAGCTATGGAGATGATACAATGAGGAAAAAAATATGCTTTAAATTGTAGCTCCTATAGCTGCTGTTTTCCTCTCACTCTGTCAACCTGATACATGAAGGTACTTCATTCATTCATTCATTCATTCATTCATTCATTCATTCACTCATTCATTCATTTCCTGAGCATCTGCTGTGTGTCAAACACTATTCCTGGTGCTGGAGACCCAGCAGTAAATAAAACAGGCAAGTTCTCGACCTCTATTGTGGACGTCACAGTCTAGTACAAATAAATAACTTCAGTTTCTGTTCATGCCGTGAAGAGAGCAGGTATGGCGTGATGAGAGAGATGGTAGTACAAGGGGTTATGTAGACTGAGTGCTCAGTGAGGAGCTCCTGGCGGAAGCTGCCCTGAAGCTGATGACAAGGAATGGAGGACAGAGCATCCCAGTGGAAGGAGGAATAAATGCGAAAGCCCTAGGTAGACATAAGTCAGAGTAACTGGGCATGAAAGAAGAGACCTGAGAAGTGAGCTGGAGATGTAGAACAAACTGGGTCTTTAGGGATGAAGCCAGGAGCTACAGTTTCATCCCTGAGGCCAATAGGAAAGGGCGGGGAGCTTTAGGCAGAAGAGTGACATGGTGATGTTGAAGGATGAACGGATAGATGACTAAGTCTGTAAAGAAGGTTCAAGAATTACACCTCTGTCCTTAGTGTCTACTTTCTCAAGTCCTGCAAACCCTTTTTCCAGCCATGCCTTGCTCCAATGTGACTGCCACCACTGTTCTCCTTTTACTGTGGCAGCAGATGTCACAGAAGCCTCCCAAGGGGCAATTGCCTTGCTAGTAAGAGGGGCTGGAGAGAAGGGGCAGTGGGAAGGGCCTGAGGTGGCTTCTGTGTCACTGGACAACCTAGCGCCAAAGGCTGCGATGTTTCCATTCTTCTTCTGCTTAACACACTCTTTTTATTTCAAAAACTTAGAGAAAAAAAAAAACCCTTCTGATACACAATTGAGAAATCAGGCATGGAGAGAATCTTACTCTGACGCTCTTCATAAATGTGAGATCCTGTGACAAATAGTTTCGCAGGGCTATGCCAGGGTGTGCTGAGCCTGGGGGAGGTAGGCCGGCATGCGCACTGAGGTAGGTGTGCATTACCCTCATCACTCAAGAGGGGAGCTCATCTATTCTACAAGCCCTTCCGCAGGGGGCTTGGCTGGACTGCACAGATTGAAAGGTTGGAATCCACAGAGATTTGTCCTGACTCAGGTCCCTCTGATTCTTGGGTAAGACATTATGGAGTGTCTCTGTGTCTCCCCTAAAAGAGAAGTTGCTAGACTAGATGACAACTCAAGGTCCCTCCAGCTCTGGTCCTCTGTGATTTTAAGACACTCTGGGTAAGCAACAGTTTTCCACACCCTGACATTAAAATTCATTAATTCCATCAATTAAACATTGACATTTCAGTCCCTGCTGTGCTTGGTGCTTGGGACACAAAGAGAAATAAGATTCAATATTTCCTATAGCGAACCATCTAGAGGTGAGGAAGGGCCAGCACAAGCCAAGCATTTAAATTAATGTGACAGTGCACTTAAATTAATGTACACTCTGACATACATTACTCCTGACGGGGAAGCATAGTGGACCTAGGAACCTGCTTTGTCCATCCAGGCTAGCCAGAGTCATAGGCTCATGAGGCTGTAACATCTGTGCTGAGTTCTTAAGGACAAACAGGACAACACCGCAGAAGAACAGAGAGAACAAACGCTACACGGCCTTTGAGCTAAGAGCTGGCTGGATGGGTTAGAGTGCGGGGGAGAGCGAAAGGAGTTTGTGACAGACCTTTTTATCAGCAGGGGACAGTGAGTTTGGGAATCCCATTGCTGTGGCCTGCCCACTTGCTTCCCGCAACACACAAAAGCTTTCACCTTTAGTCCCTGGAACAACCAGAGAAGGAAGAGTAACTCTGTAAATATTCTAGCTATTCCTCTGCTGCACGTCTTCTGATCTAAGTGACTGGAATGAGAGAGGCTACCAATGTAAATTTTATATATTACATATTTATATAGATTATATTATACGTTATGTATACATATGTATATATATTTCACAGCTTCTCCATAAACTTGCCCTCTTGGGGAATGGAGTGCACACAACCCCGGGAGTCCTAGCCATATATTCATAGCCTCTTGCCCGGGTAACCTTGGTGAACACCAGTCTCCTGCCCATACCATCCATAGTGGTGCCTGATGGTTGTATTTGAGGCTCCTTCCGGCATCTTCCATGTCCTTGGTCTTCTCTCATACAGTGCTGGTACAGCTGGAAAGAGAATTTTCTGCCAGGAATAGTGACTGATTTTCATAGGTGTTTTTGCTTTAGTCTCATCCCAGGAAAGGCTGGGGCTCTAAAATTAAATCCAATTTAAATATTGCCAATTTCTAATGCAAATATACTAGGGACAAGCAAACTCAACAGATGCCTATTTTTAAACTCCTAACTGTTCTCATAATTACTTAGGAAGACATCCGGTGGCTCTCACACTCTTGATAAATGTATGGAAATAGATCACAGCTCATTTATAGACCACCTTATGCTCCTTCTTATAGAACACAATGAAATAGTATTGAAATCTGGTGTGCTTCTGCTAGACCTGGTCTGCCACATGAAAGCAATGGTACAGCAATATCTTAAAACTTGTTATGAGTGCAAAGTATGGGGCAGATATCCTGAGTACGGGAAACAAGACAGCTTGCGATTTAATAACCCTGTTATATTACTATCTGTCACCTAAGTTTAAGAGTGATTAGGTTCCATGCTGGCCTTCCTCCATCTCCAATTGACTGGATGAAAATCACCTAGGAGACTGAGACATTCTGCAGAGAACATTATTGAGGGGATTTCAAAAGAGGATTGATTGAAGAGGAAGGTCTGTTCTCAATGTGGGAGGCAGCTCTCAAGGGTCAGCCCAGATATAAGGAGGTTCAAGGAGCCAGCAGTAGGGAGAACCTCCCTTCCTTTCCTTGCTCAGGGTAATTGTGTCTGTCACAGCCGTGTGATCCTCCGCTGACTTCAGACCCACATGGACTCTAACACGGTGGCTCTCCAGGGAACTTCCATGCTTTGTGGTTTGAGACTGGTTGGAGAAGTCAAGCTTCACTGAGTGAGCAGTTAGGACAGCAAGCAGACAGACATTGTTGGAGTACCCAGCACCTATGTGTAGGCTAGCCTAACAAAATCTCCCTTTACCATGAGTGTTGTCATTATCCTGTCCCACCAGAGAACCCTTCCTCATACCCCCCACCCCCACAGAGTGTGAGATCCAAGCCAAAGAGCATGAACTCAAAGATGGCCTGCCGTTGTGAACTGCCAACCTGACCGTTCCATGGGGGTCCTTTCCTTAGGATCCATGAAAAGCCAGCCCAGAGTCTTCTAGAGTTGGAGGACAGAAGGACTCTTCTGAAGATCCCTGGAAAGAAGGCTGCTCATTTTGCCCTCTGATCATTGGGCCTACCTTCCCCAATCCCTTTTTATTTTATTTTTTTTAAGTCTTTGCCCATCCTCATCAAGAAGTTTAGATTAACGGCAAACTGCTAAAGTCCAATCAAAATGTAATTGATAGCATCTTTGCTTCTGTTGGTAACTGATGGGGACTGGTGGACACCCCCTGCGTCTTTCATACTTGAATATGAAAGGCTCTATCTACCCCCTGGTTTCTACTTTCCACAAACCCACCATGCTGCCCATGTCCTGTCTCCTGCGGAGCCTAGTTTCACTGACTTGAAGTACTCCTAGGGACTTTTCAAAAGCTCCCTAGGAGATTTGAATGTAAGGCCAGCTCCGAAGCCACCAGTGGACAGGAGGAAGAGGGAGCTTGTCAGTTGCTTTGATGAACCAACTAAGAGAAATTCATTATCAAGAAATGAATATAGAAAACACTGTACCATAAGCAACAAGGAATATGAGGATAGAGTGTGTAGATTTGGGGAAGGTCATCTTTGCAAGTCCTCACTGTCTAGATACAAGAGACATCTGTGACCCGGAAGGTTTTCTTTTTGACCTTTTTGCAAGCCACTGTTTTTTTTTAACAGTCTTCAGTGTTGTAGCAGTGGTGGCTTAGTACTGAAAAAAATTCAAGGACTGTTTGCTGACTTTTTTTTTTCAAAAGATTCGAGGACAGTTGACCCAAATGGACCTTTTAGAGCATACATCCCATGCACTCCGACACAGCAATGGCCAGTCCCGAGGGCACTTAACACTGGTCAGAGATGCCTCTACCTGGTGAGTTCCGAATAAGGAAATATCATTTTAGGTTAAGCATTAAGAACATGTTATTGGGGTGCAGTCAGTTTTGGTGCCACTATACCCATTCTTCTTAATTTTAGCCCCTGTCTGTCATTTCTTAGGCTGAGCCTGCATACAAAGGGAGGCG